TTTCATTGTCTGTTGTTGTTGCTTTCTTTTCTTTTTTAAGGTTCAAAATAAACTTTCAAATCAAAATCAATCAAATTAATTAAACTTCCCGTCATGACTGGGCTGCATTTCTGTCAGCGGAGTCATTTTTTTCCTAACAGCTGATTGGCCAGTGGGTGGTGCTTTTTATAGGATCAGATTCAACCCTGAACTTACCCTGCTCCGGAGCAGGATAGCCGTTCAGAGTAAGTTACCATGGTGATCTACCCCTTTAAGAACTGAACTGGCTTCGTGAGACCGAAAACCCAGGGTTAACCCTGAAGTTACCTCGCTAAGACAAAATCCTGCTTCGTGATACAGGCCCCTGGTCTGAGACCTTGGTCAATACTGATGTTTGGCTCAGATTATCTGGTAATGGTGAGAGATTTACAGATCCAGTCTCAAGTTTCCTGAACTGCTCGCAGACTCATCAGGGCTGCTGATTTAAAATCTGGCTGATTACAGTTATGATTACATCGGTACAGAGCAGCTGATGTTGTTGCCAAGCACTACTGTTGACAAATATTGAAACTCTCAAATTCTTGCTGAAGAATAAGGATCCCGTGCTGAGCGTTTCTCCTCAACCAATTTCTCATCCAGTCTCATTCAGCCTTCTGCCTGTTTTTCTCACAACAAAGCATTGTTAATATTACACCACAATAATGTTTTTTTTTTCCAAGATTATTTTTATGGGCTTTTTTGCCTTTAATGTAAAGGACAGTGTGAAATGGGGAGAGAGATAGAGTGGGGAGTGACATGTGGCAAAGGGCTGCAGGCCGGAATCGAACCCGCTGCAGCAAGGCAATGCCTCTGTACATGGGGCGCCAGCACTATCCACTGTGCTACCGACGCCTCACTCCACAATAATCGTAATCTGAATAATCATAATCATAAGTTGTATTGTGTGATGCATTATTTTTTTTCAAATTTTCCAATGAGTACATGTTTAAGATTAGAAACACATCTGTGAAGTTTCTCCTTATGTGCGTGTAATCTGAGCCTGTTTCAAATCTATCAAGTAAATATAGTGAATTTAAAAGTACAATATTTGCCTCTAAAATTTAGCGTAGCAGAAGTATAAAGTAGCATAAAATAGAACCAGCCAAGTAAAGTACAAGTACCTTAAAATTGTTGCAGAATACAGTGCTTGTATAAATGTATTTGGTATATTTATTCTATTTATTTATTCTATTTATTTATTTATTTATTTATTTATTCTACCTCTGGAGGCAGATGATAGTAAAGAAGACGATGAGTCACACTTGGTGTTATGAAAAAGTAACAATGCAAAGTGACCTGTAGTCAAAGAATTTAAACAAGGTCCCCACAGTCATGGACAACCTGTAAAAGTCATGGAATATCACAAACACATTTTCCAGAACTGGTAAAATCATGGAATTACTTAACTTTTGTTTTGTGTAATGAAATTGTTACAGTAATCTTATGTGAATAACATTCCATGTGATGTAACATAGGGCTAATATGTGTCAGTGTGTATCATGTACATTTCTTGATTTTTTTCCCTGCAATCTGTCTCTCCCTTCATGTATGCCTGCTGGCTGAAATTAGGTGTGAATAGTTACTTTGAATCTGATATGTTTGAAAAAAAAAGGCAAGTGGGGCAAGAACTTTTTTTAATGGGTCCTTGAAAAGTCATGGAAAAGTTTTGAAATTTTGACCTTGAAAATGTGTGTGAATTTGCACACGTCTCAATTTAAATTCAGTTCTTAAAATGTGGGGAAATTGTGAACAGTCCTCATCACAACTTAATCTGTGTGTGTTGTTTGCAGGTGCTGGAGCTTCTCCTGGCCATGTGCAGTGTCTCAGGGCTGCGTTTGCCGCTGTGTGAGGTGGTTTTCAAACCGGCAGGACCCAGACTCCGAGCAGCAGGTCGCAGACAGGGGGGCGGACTGGACGGTGGACGCAAGGCTGAGTCCGGGCTCGCCCTAGTGCAGTGGCTGAGCTCGCCTGTGGAGGGCGCTGAGTCCTGCTCACTCCAGGCCCTGCAGCTGTTAAAAGAGCTGCTAGAGGTATGGCGGCACAGCTGGGACAAAGGAGACACTCAGAGGTCTAAAGGCCCTGACACACCAAGCCGACAGCCAAAGTCGGACCTTCGGTGAGCGTCTGTCGGCCTAGTTTTTGTGATGTGTCCCACACCGTCGGCACTTCGGCATTGGCGGCTTTTCAGCCGATTGAGCATGTTGAATCGGCGGCGGAGCTTGTCGGTGAGAGAGATCACTCTGATTGGCTGGGGCTAACCGGTGCTTCCTCCTCAGGCTCCACTTCACTCAGCTGCCCGCTGATCCGCTGCTTCTTTCCACTTTAACCTGAATAACAAACCGTAGCTAGCTGGGAGCGGCTAGCGGAGCATTAGCCGCAGCATGACCGAAGGGAAGCACAGCCAGTTAGCCTCCACAAGCCTCGCAACTAGCCCCGGCTCTCCGTTTGGATCCAACCGGAGCACCGAGCCCTGGTTTGTTATTCAGGTTAAATTGTGAAGAAGCAGCTGTTTTATCTGGCATCTGAGTGAAGTGGATCCTGTGGAGGAAACACTGGGACCGTCTGGATGTAATAGTCCGTGGAGGTGCTGCGGTGCTCGGCTGCACAGATAGTAAACCCCTCGGCTGACAGGATGTACCATTCTCTCACTCCGCTCCCTGTCACGCAGGCACAGAACATACATGCTACTTGGCCGTCGTATGTAGTCTGTGTAGTGTGTTCAAATGCAACTGACACAGGGTGACGTGAGGCAACGTAGACGACGCAGCAGTTGGCTTTCGTCACCGCTAGTTCTTTGATGTCGGTTTGGTGTGTCCGCTTAGAGGCCGTTTACACGTTGCCGGCTATTTTCATAAACGGACATTTCACCGTCTCCGTTTTCAAAAAGATCTTCGTTTACACTTACCCGTGTATATATACACAAGAGCATGCCAAACCTGTAGGTGGCAGTGTAACGAGAAGCTCAAGCCTTCCATGTATCCATTGTCACCATAGCAACATAGGTCGCACTTTTTACACAGGCGCAAGTTCCGGCGCATACTGTGACGTCGGCTGCCTATAACTCCGTTTATCTCCGTTTATCTCAGTTTACATGCAAACGCGCAACCGGAGTTTTCCAAAATCTCCACTCTGGCCGGAGTTTTTAGAAAGACTCGTTTTCAGAGGAGAAATCTCCGTTTGCGTGTAAACGAAGGGCACAAACGAAGGAAGATGTCTCCGTTTATCAAAATCACCGTGTACGTGTAAACGGCCTCTTAGTCAGCTAGTGTGAAGCAGAAACATGGTGTAGTGGTTTGACCATGAACAGTTGCACTGTAAGTCCTCATTAGTCAGTTTCAGAATGATTCAGGTCGTCTGAATCAGTGTCGGGTTAAATTTAAAATGGTGTTGCAGCCACAGTGCTTATTTTTTCCACTGTACTATACTCTACTGCAGCTTTCTGAGCAGCACTGAATTATGGTCTAAACAGTTTGATTAAAAACACAAGCATGGATCCATATTCGGATCAAACACACCTACATGTGCACATTCAGTATTTTATACTTAGTTTTGCATTAGTTTGTATCAACTGTGGTGGCTGTGCTAATGTTACATTGGCTATATATATGCTGCAAAAAACTCATTTGATTTGGCTTTGATTTGCATCAACTAAAACTAGATGCCAAATGGGCTTCGACTTCATAGTGTTCAATGTCAGGGCTGGGTGTTGTTTTAAAATGTATCATCTATATTTTTGTGAATTTTTGCCTGTTTGATAGAGATAGGACAGGAGCGATGACATACAACAGAAGTTTCTGATGGGACTTGAAATTGTGATTACATGGTCAACATCTTAAATTCCACCAGGATGCCCTCTGTTTGAATTTTTTTGTCACAAGTGCTTTTATGAGACCAGGTTTATAGCACTGATGCCAAAATTATAT